CAAGAAGATGCTCGTGTTGCCCTTGCAGCAGTAGGCCATGTGGTGAGGAAGCAACAAATGGCTGTCATTCTTTATTTTCCCTTCAGGAAAGTGGGTTGTGCTTAAATAAATTAATTTAAGTCGGTACATCGTTAATGCTGGTGTATAATTAGAAGTGGGGAGCAGCATCTGCGTTGCTGTACAGCCCTGATGGGGTTGTGCCTCTGACGTGGCTGTGTGCTCACCTCTGATCAGATCTGTGCCGTGTCACTGGGATGTGCTTGGAGGCAGCCTGCTGCTTTCATGTAAAATCGGGGTTTACCCACTGCAGAATGTGGGGGGTCCCAGCCCAACCTGGCTCTCTTTGCTCCCCGCTGTTCTAACCAACTGTTCTCCATCTCAGAGGACAGAGCAAACAGGAGGGGTTTTGCTTTGGGTAGCAGCAGCTCTCGTGATCTTTGGAGCTGTGTGAGCATGCCATCGCACTGCATGCCTTCAGTTGTGCTCTCACATGCAATGGTGCCGTGTGGAATTAAAGCATCCAGCTGTGCTACGCAGCTTCTGCTGCTCTCACTCTCCTGCTCCACCTGCTCCACTCCCTCTGAACCAACTTCATGCTGCTGAGGATATTCCAGCCAAGGCCACGCTGTGCTGGAGGAGGCGGGATGGCCGCTGTTGTCCTCAGCAGCTTGGGCAGCTTGGATCCATTCTTGGTCGAAAAGCTTTGCTGTCAAAGAGATTCAGTGCTTGGAGAATGCCTATGGGCAGTGCTATGAAGCAGGCTGCTGGGATTCTGGTTTCTTGCTCAGGTTGGAAGGAGAGACAAATGATACATGGAAGTCTTTTAAACACGAAGTGAGGTGAAATCAATGCATATACGGCACCTACGAGAGCCTTTGATTCCTAATTGCAGACTGTTATAAAGCTGTTGGCATGCATTTTATTTCTAGAGTCTCTTCTAAATGAAGCACGCACCTCTATAGAGCAGATTGATGGAGTTGCTGTGCTGTCCTGGCTGTTCACTGACCTTAGGGTACTGCTGGAGGCATGAGCTCAGGAATCAAAGAGCTCTGCATGCTTCTCATACCAGCAGAATGGTACCATGAAGGCTGGTTTAGAGGCATCATAAGTTAATGACCAGCCAGTATTTTAGATTTCAAGCCCTATAGGACGTAGTTTAAACTACCTGTGGAGGTCACTGGAAACTCCTCACCAGTTTTTGCCTTTCAGGACGTGCTGTTACTGATAGTAACTTCATAGGAAAAGCTCATGTTAAACAATACCCCATAGGATTGTTGGGGGGGAATTTTCATGGCAGTCTTTTTGTATCTCTGCAGCCCAGAACTTGCTTTTCCATCTGGTGGATGCTCACCTGACAGCTGCACAAAGCTCCTCAACCTCTGCCAGAAATCCTCAAAGTCCAAAGGACTCAGCCTGAATCTGCTGAACAACTTAATGGAATGGGTGCTGCTCTGGTGGGTGCTTTTTGCTCTCTTTGTGAGCATGCTAATGGAAATTCAATAGGAAGATAACCTTATTGTGAAGTTTTTAATTAGCACTGCTTCCTTGTAATAACGAAATTGAGAAGGGATTAATCACCTGATTTAATTACCGAGAGAAAAGATGGCTTCCAATGGGATTTCCATCTCATGTGTTCTGGACACTCCTCATGCATGGGATCAGCCTCTCTTACACCAAGGCATTGGTTCCCACAGGTTTGCTGCTCTCCTCTACTTTTGGCTTAGTGGAAGTTTGTTGAGCGTTGCCTACTTGGTTTGCAAGTATCTCCAGTTTAGGGACTGGTGTCTGCTGGCACAGCCCTCGTTTGGAAATCTCTGCAGCTGGGGCTTTGGGGTTGCTCTTGTTTTTGTGAGGTGGTGATGAAGCCCTGCCAAGTAGAATCATAGAATGGCCTGGGTTAAAAAGGAGCACAGTGCTCATCCAGTTCCAGCCCCCTGCTGTGTGCAAGGTCTCCAACCAGCAGACCAGGCTGCCCAGAGCCACATCCAGCCTGGCCTTGAATGCCTGCAGGGCTGGAGCATCCACAGCCTCCAACATCTCTCCTTTGGGCCTGGGCTGAACAGGGCTCCAAGCACGCATCAACCCTCCTGTCCTTAGCAGAGCATTTCAAAGCCTTTTCTTCCCCTCCCTTCAAAGATACTGGGGCCAACCAGCACCTTCTTGTTCATCCTGTTGGCCGTTGCTTTGCCAGCAGCATCCCACAGGATCCTTTCCAGATCTCTCACCCCTTCCCAGCGTTGTTTATTTATCAGTATCTGTGCTGGCCACGGAGAGGAGCTGTTTGGCTGCGCTCTGCCTGCTTCTGCTTCCCAGGAAAGCAGGCAAACAAACACCCATCATTCTGCCTCTGCAGCCTTCTTCCTGCTGGCTTTGGCCTCGTGTCCAGCCCTGAAATGCTGTTTGTCCTCTGCACAGCAAGCCTTCAAGCAGCAGTTCTCCCTGATCATCCTCCACGCGTGGCCGAGTTGCAGGAATTGCTGCATTTCCCACGTGCTGCTCATGCACTTCAGCTGTGGTTTTGTGTTTTGTCTCATGTACTCCTCTTGCAGGCAGGGGCAGGCCTGAACCTCCGCTCTCTATCAGTGTTACTGCTCCCTTCCTCAGGCTGTGGGATGCACCAGCTCCAATGTACCATTTCCACCTGCAGGAGGAAGCCAGCTCAGCCAGCTGTGATGTTCGCCCATGCGGAGCTCCTTGTTGTTCTCAAAGCTCTGCCTCAAGAAAGCGAGTGAAGCTGGATTTATGAAGAATGGAGCTCATCAGGTGGAATCTTCTCTTTAGTTTGTAATTCACTTCAGTTTGTGCTGGCTGAAAATTCCAGGGCAGCCAGGCTGCAAGACCTTCCCAGCTGAATCTGCAGCAATAACATGGGGCAGGAGCACAGCAGCCTTCACCCCACATTGATCTGCAGCCTCACGCTCCTGCTCCTTGGGTCTAAGATGCACAGTGCAGGTTGGGCTGCAGGGCAGATGCTGCAAGGAAATGTTTAAATCCAAAGCTCAAATTTGTTCCCAATTAGTCCTAAAAAAAAAAAAACCAAAAACCAAACCCAACCACCACCACCCATCATAACAAATATCCATAGTAACATCTCTGTTTAGGTTTGTTTTCTGATGTCACCTCGGCTCCCTGCCAGCATGCCTGAATATCTCCTTGTGCCTCGTGTGCTATTGTTTGCTGAGGTTGGTTCTGCACACGTATGCATGAATGCTTTGGAAATGGCTTTGTTTTTCTTTTCTTTAGGAATGTGTTCCAAACAAACACCCCGGAGCAGCAGCGCAGAGGTTTGCTTACACTGCACTGCGTTACTCTCGGTGTCATTTATCACTCTCCAGGTGGATCACCCAGGGTTGGGAAGCTCCTAGGACCTGCCAGGCACTGACACAGCTGTAGAGACGTTTCATTCCTCTGATTCTGCAGCCCTCGGCGATGTTGGTTGGTGGTTTTGTCTCCTCACAGCTATAAAGAGTGACAAATTCATTCACTGAGCCTGCAGGCTTGAAAGCCAAGATAGAAATGTGCCAGTGCATTGGGTGGAGAGGAATATCCTGGCTACAATGGATTTACTTCTTTAGGAAAAGAATCGCGGGTCAAAATGAGAGGCTTTTGCAATGGGAGCCCCCTATGGGCTCCCAGCTGTTTTAGCAGGCAGGTGAGCACAGGGTGCAGTTATTAATCATTGTATGACAGCAATGCAAGCAATCTTAAAATGAGTCATGGTTGTAGCTGTCTAGAAATACAGAGGTGAAGTGCAGGCTTCCTCAGTATATACATATTTTAGTGTGAATTTGAATAGATGGAAGACAATGTATCTCTTTTGAGACATCATCGCAGTGTGTGTGTGCTGCTGAATGCCTGTCTGCCCTATGACTCTTTTCTGTGTCAATCTCACCCGGCTCTTTTAAATACAGACGTCTTCCTGCTGCAGCAGCCACGCAGCAGCTCATCCTCCCCAAAATCGCACCGTTCTGCAGCCATCAGCCCGCTGTGAGGAGCAGCAGGGCTGTGACCAGCATGCAGCTCTGCCCGGCGCTTTGCTTCGCAGCAGCTGAGCCATCATCCTCCGTAAGGAGAGCAGAGCAGGTGTGAAGCAGGGGCTGTGTTTGTTTTTATATCCCATGCAGAGTCCTGCTGGAGAATCTGATCTTTGCACCGGCTCCATTTCTCTGCCCCTGTCCTCCTGCTGCACTGATGGGGTTAACGAGACATGGGGATGGCTCCCATCTAATCACATTTCAGCTGAGATCATGCCGTGCTGGGAGGAAAGGCATCGAGTTGATTCAATTTGCTCTGCAATGGCACTGCATCAGTACCAGCGTGTGCCTGGCGATGAAGCATTGCTTGTAAGATCTGTATTCAAACCAGGGTCTTTGGGCTGCCCAAAACACACATCCCAGATTAAAATGACCCATCGAGGAGCCCAGCCCATCACCCCAGGCACTGGGTTGTTGTCAAAGCACAAAGCCCTTCCTTTAATTCTTCTAGCCCTTCCTTTTACATTTCAGATCAGCCTGGAAGCTCCCAAGGGAAGCAGAGAAATGGCTCATAGAGTGGAAATTTAAGGTCATCTTTTGGTAGCGTCCCACCTGGATAGCATCACTCTTTCCAGCAGTGTGGGGCTGTAGCTTCAACTTTAACACTTCTTCTTTCTGCACCAGCTCCATTCAAAGGGGGTGAGTTCGAAACGCATGGAGCTGCTTTCGTGCTGCAGAGCCTCACTGTGTCTGCTTTGCAGTTCATCAGAGCAGCTCACAAAGTTTCCAGCATGGAGCTGGCGTTCCCACAGGGCTTCAGCCATGCCAAGAGCCCGGAACTGTGCAGAGGGAGCAGTGCACTCCGTGCTGCCAGACACTGATTGCTTCTCTTGGCCTCAGTTTCTGATTTATTTATGTGAACTTCATGACACCCGAGCAAGGAGCCCAGGAAGGCATCAGATCAAACACAGGCTGACTTCATTGGGCTAAAAACGTCTCAGGCTGCCCATCGTCAGCCACGTTACCCCTTGGATCTGTGCTGACCAAGGGGACGTGCTGGATCCTGCAGTGAAGGAGGTCGCTCCCATGCACCCATCAAGGCCAAAAATGTGTCTTTATAAACGATGCTCCATTTCAGTGACGTGGCCACAAGGAAGAGGTTTTGTTGCTTCCCTTGGAAGTGGTCAAAGTTAGCATCCAAGGACCGAAGTCAGCTGGTCTGTTTGTCTTCAGAGAGGATGGCTTCATCTTTCCTGATACTTCAGGGAGGTGCTGGAGAACCTGGAGGTGCTTGGGAACAGTGGGGGTGTGGCACTGAGGGCACAGTGGGCACAGTGGGGGTGGGTCAATGGTTGGACTGGGTGATCTTAGAGGTCTTTCCAACCATAATGGTTCTGTGTTTCAGGCTTTGAGTTACATCTGAGCTTGTCTGAAACCTCAGTTTTTCATGGTCTTTTTTAACCTCCGTTGCAAGGGGGAAGGCCTCTTGCCCCCACCCTACTGAGGCCCTTTTCCCTATGGAAGCTCATAGCCCAGGGTCCTGCCTTCTGCTCAGGAGAGCCTTGGATCTGCTTGAGCACAGGAATGAGCTTGCAGAAAGAGAAGATAAATTAATGAGCACCATGACTGCTGGTGTCAGCAGGTACAGAACTACTGGTACCAGTGAGCAGGAATGGAGGACTCCATGATCCTGATCTCTTCCAACCCGGGATATTCTGTGCTTCTGTGTCTCCATGCATTCTTTACCATGTTCCTGCTGCCCTGAAGGCTTTGCCCTCTCTTTGCCTCCACCACCAGCCAGTCCTCCTGCTTCCCTTGGGCTGACAGTGACACGCTGTGCATTTGCTCTTGCCATCCCATATCCTCTCCCAAGCCAAGGGAAAGGAACGTGTGGAAAGGGAAAAAAATGGGCTGCAAGCTTAGTGCTGGGACCTCGATAAATGCAAGTGACATAAATGCTGGCTGAGACACCTTCTGCCTGCTGGCTCCTCTGCTGCTAGGGAGTTATGCTGGCTGTGAAGTAGCTTTCTGGAGCTGGTGTGGAGCCAACCTTGGAGCAAATGCTTGGCCAGAGCCAATTCATTAGCAAAGGGAAGTGGCTGCAAGCCCCCCATTTAGGCTGTGTCACTTCACATGGCTGAAGGCAGCCCTGCTGATGATGTCTCAAGCCCTCTGCTGCCCCAGCAGCCCGTGGCACCACGTCAGGCTTCACTGGTCAGCCCCAACCTGGTGGCCTGACAAGTTTTCCACCCACCCAGCCATCCTGTTCTTTGTGTCTCCTGGAGCAAACCATGCTAATGCCACACTGAAGTCTACAGTCATAGAATCATTAAGAGAAAAGACCACTAAGATAATCACAACCAACCACACTCCTCCCCTTGGCTACCCACCACTTTGTTGTAGAAGGCCATGGGGTTGCTCAGGTGTGCCATGCCCTTGTAGGTCCTTGGTGGCCGTTCCCTGTCATCTGCGTGTCCTCCACCTGCCCAGAATCACCTCCCAGGAGCGTTTGCCCCACCACCTTCCTGGGGACTGAAAAGCTGCTCTCCAGATCCTCCTCCTTACCCTGTCTGAAGTGAGATATGACATTTGTCTCTTTACATCAGCTATCCCTGTGATCACCACAGCCTTCCCAAACCTTAGGTGGGAGTATCGATGTTGGCCAGCCCCTCCTTGCCATGTTGAACACCCCACCGACAAAGTTGCTCTTTAAGTTGACCCTGCTGGGTCTTTGTCAGCACTGCTTGCCTTGGGGCTGGCTTGGTAGGAGTGGGATGTCTGTGCTGCCCAACCCAGCAGAGAGGTCCAGCCGTGTGCCCATTGCATCCTCACCATTTGTAGGCCGTGTGGTTGGGTCTCGATTCCCCAAAAGCACATCAGATCCTTGGGCCAATGACTGAGCTTTGAGGGTTTGGGGCAAACACAGCACTTTTGGCCTCTGGGGAGAGGTTGTGATCAGATCAACACGTTAATGAGCTTTTCAGTACCCTAGGGACACCTTCCCAGTATCCCCAATTTGCCCAGGGGTCCCACAGCCCCTCACAGAGCTGCCCTGATGTGGGCATTTCCATTCCTCCTGTCCTTTGTCAGCCCCACTGGCCTGGTTGCTCACCTCATTGCAAAATGTCCTGCCTCATCACATCCTCCACTTGCAGAAGGACAGGGATGGGTAGCAGTAGTGCTGACCCTTAGGAACCGTGGTTCAGCCCAGCCCCAGGCATTTCATGCCTCCTTTTGCAGTCAGATAATGGGAATCAGCAAAGGGGCAAGGACCCTGGACAAGGGGCACAGGCAGCCCCACAACCCTCGTATGAGCTGCTCGAAGCGGGGCTGACACCCCCAGCCCATCGCCGTGCCAGGGAGCGATGTCAGCACCAGCCCAGGGTCAGCCCACAGCCTCCTGCCTTTACAGAGGGCGGTGCAGAGGGATGTGAGCTGGCGGGCAGCCGAGCTGTGAGCAGCTCCTGCAGCGCTGTGAGCAGCAGCCCGGCGCTCGGGCAGTGCTGACACTGCGGGCGTTGGGGTGGCAGCGCCCTGCCCCAAGCGCCACCCCAGCCCAAGCGCGGCTGCTTGCTTCCCAGGGATGGTTACCAGGAGCCCACGGTGTGTTTGGTTGCAAACAGAGCGCGGGCCGGAGCCAGGCGCTGTGTTTGTGCCTGCGGTTGCTCAGGCAACTCGGGGCCAGCCAGGAAGCGAGCCCTGGGGCTGGCCGAGAAGGACAGAGGGATGGACAGACGGATGGAACCAGAGGCGGGGCGTCAGTGCGGAGGGGGTTTTATTGCGGGGTGACAGCGCGGGGCTGCGGCATCCTTTGGTTCAGGCTCCTTGGGGGCAGTGGGAGCCCACGTGGGTGCAGAGCTGGGGGCTCGGGGACCTTTGGTGGTGATTGGACCCCATTCTGGGAGCTGCACTGGGAGATGGGACCCATGGCAAGCGGCATCCCGATGGGGCGATGGGAAGGCTGCGACACCAGGGGTGGGGAGGGTGGGCTGCGGTCCCACAGGGCCTGAGGTAGGGAGGGCCGAGGTGCCGGCGGGGCACCCCATGGAGCAGCGCTGCAGAGGCAGGGGGTGATGCACGAAGGACGGACGCGGCGTTGAGACGGAGCCCGGCCGCTCGCCCGTCACATCCGACATCCCGCCAGCGTGGGGCCGGCCCCGGTGCAGCCTCCCAGGCCCTGCGGCCGTGTCCCGAGGCCAACGTGACCGAAGGCGGTGGGCGCGTGGGGCAGTCCCTACTTCTTCACTTTGGCATCGTAGGTGCCCGCGTTCTTGTAGGCGCTGACGTAGCCGCTGTTGTCCACGATGTTCTCCCGCCCGCTCTTCCCCTTGCCTTTGCCCGTCTCATCGAAGCGCTCCTTGTGTGACCCCGTGTACTTGGAGGTGTCGGTCAGCCGCTCCACGGCGCCCACGTTCTTGGCTTTCTGCACAGGGACGTGGACGCAGCGGGTCAGCCAGCATCCCGACCCCATGCCTGTTCCTGACGCCCACCGGGAACCCAAACCCGAGCCCATAGGGCTCCCACAAAGCACAGCCCCATCCTCAGCCCGTGCCCCCTGCTCTCACCGTGACGCCCACATTAATGGGCTCCTTCCCAGCCACCAGCTGGCAGATGGCCTCGTACGCCTCCTCCTTGCCCTTGTCCTTAAAGCGCTTCGGGGCCAGCTCCTCCAGGGCCTTCTTGAACTCCTCGTAGTTGATGACACGGGCTGTCTTCCCTCTGCAAGCACCAAACATATGCTGTGAGCATCACCTTGTGCTGGTCCAAGCCGCATGGTGAGGACCCCAGAATGCTCTTCTCCCAACCTGGGGTTCCTCAGCCACCTCCAAAACGCAGTAGGGCTGCACTGGTCAGAACAGATGGGCTCTAGGAGCTTTGCAGCCCAGTGGTGTTACAGCCCTCTGTGCCTAAACCTCACTGGGGATTTGGGCACTGGTGATGGGAGGGTTTGTGCATCTGTCATCATTGCTTCTGACCTCCCCTCATTGCCCAGCTTGGCACAGAGCTGCTGTGCTTTGTTCTTCCCCATTGGCATCACTTCGGTGCCCAAAGTCACTTGGCTCCAGCTGGGAACAAGAGAACCCAGACAGCAGTGAGGGGGGAGCAGCATCCCCATCCATTGTCACTTTTGCACCCTGGTGCAGCATTGATTGCCACCACATACACGGGGACCACAAAGCATTCCCAGGTCAGAGCCCTCCCTGAGCTCAAAGCTGTGCCACACCCCATTGTACAGCCCTGAGCATCCTCCTGTTGGGATGTTGGATGAGAAGCTGGGTTCCCACCTCCTCTGTGCATGACTCAAAATCTGAGCTTCAAAATCTGAGCTTCCCATTCTGCAGATTTGCACTGATTTACAATCAACACCCACTGCACCATGGAGAGGCACGGGAGACCCCAACCAGTCACTTACTTCACTTTGGAGAACACGATGTCCACGTCAGTGCCGGTGACGCTTTTGCCGTCGATGACTTTGCAGTCCTTGCACAGCTTGGCCCAGTTCTTCCCATTCATCTCCTGCCCCGTGGCCTTGGTGTCGCCATAGATGGCGAACTTGCGGAAGCTCTCCTCCAGCGATGCCATCTCAGAGCTCCCCGCCATGGTGCCGCAGGACGGGGTGGAGCGGCCCCTCACCACCGGGATGCTGCCGACGGCTGAGAGATGTCTTCGGGGACGGCGGCTTGGGATGTGAGCGCGACAGCCCACGCCGGTCCTGGCCACCACCCGCCCGCAGTCCTCAGCCGGCTCCCAGACCCGCGCCCGACTCCAGCGCGGCTCCCCCCCTCAGCCCCCCTCCCGTTGCCTAGCGACCGTCACTAAGGGCAGGGCTGCGTTGCCTAGCGACCGTCGCTAGGGCTGGAAGGCGCGGCCCCGGGGGATGAGGACCCCTAAGGGAGAGATCGGGATCCTCGGAGCGGTCCCGACCCCGCGGTGCCCCCCCGCCCCCCGCCGGCTCCCGGTGCCTGTCCCGCTCTCACCTCCCGGTGCCGCTCTCTGGGCGCGGCCGCCGCCGCCGCCGCTGTTTAAGGCCCCGCGCTGGCGCCGCGCCGGCCCACGGCTGCGGGAGGGGCTGCGGGACGGAACGCGGGGCCGCCCCCTCCCGCCCTGCCCGGACCGACACGCGGCCGGAGGTGTCCGCCCGCAGCGGCTGTGCAGGGGGAGCCGGGAGGGAATGGGAGCGGGGGGACCCGGCTCCGCTGTGACATCCGGAGCCCCTCCTGGCTCTATGAGAAAGGACCGGCAGCTCCATCCCCGCGTCCTCCCTCTCCCGTCCTTCCTCCCTCATCCTCCATCCTCACTCCTCCGTCATCAAAGGTTGGAAAATCTCTCTCGGATCCCCGACCCCACCGTGCCCACTGCCCACGTCCCTCAGTGCCACATCCCCGCGGCGCTGGGATGCCTCCACGGATGGTGAATCCTCCCCAGCCCTGGGCAGCTGTGCCACTGCCTCACCGCACTTGGGGAGCAGAACTGTCCCTAACACCCGAGCTCCTGGATGGGGGTCCACGGAGCCATGCTGAGAGGCAATAAGAAGCTGTCGCTGAGTGGCAGCCAGGAGGAAGTTGGATGTTTCTTGCTATTTTATGGATATATTTTTTTAATCTCCTTGGAGACTAAGAGAAAAGCAGAAATGCTTCTATTGCCAAGCACCCACCGAGCCTTCCTCCTCTGCCCGCCTCGTACTGCTCTTGTAGGCTGGAGGTCATCTGGTCCAATGGAGAGCCCAGAGCAGGATGCCCTCGAGCACATCTCACAAACAGACACCCCAGGGACTGCTGAACATCTGCTGGGATGGAGCTCAAAGAGTCTGAGCGGCCAAAGGGTGGCAGCCGAGGGGCGACACTTCTGGGTGAATAAGGGCTGGCACATCTGGGGAGCCAAGTGAGAAGGGCCCGGAGCCGAGCTGGGCCTGCTGCCCCATCGCTGCCTCACGGGCCGGGTCGAGCAGGTCAGGTTTTGGTTTCTAAGGGCCGGGGTTTGTTGTGCGTTTGTTGTCACTATGACAGCCCTGTCAAAGCCAGGTCCTTGTTGGCTCCTGCAGCTCCTCACACAGGAAGGAAGGCCGGGAGGAGGCCGGGGCTCAGGCTGGAGCCAAGCAGGAGGTCCCACGGGCCGAGCACAGCCATGGCTCCGTGCCCAGACCCCGGGGACTTTCCCCTTCTGATGATTTCCAGAAGGGATCGGGGTGTTCCCAGCACCCGAGGAGCAGCACTGGTCCGATGCTCACCCTGGTCTGTGCCAGGCGTGCATCCCACCCCAGGTCACCTGCAGGATGCTGAGCTCAGAGTGCACCCCAAGCAGGGACGCGCACCCCCTGCACCCCATCCTCCTCCCGTGGGCACTGCCAGTGATTTCGGCCCACCGGGGAGCAGCGGGGTGGGATGAGGTTACGTGGGAACGCCGCTCCTATAGAGCAAGTTGCTACAAAACAGAGGGAAGTGTTTCAGAGGTTGTGCAATATGTATATGGTAACCCTGGAGACAGCTCGTCCAGAAGGCATTAGCGGGGCTTAGCTGTGTCTGACAGCACACGGGGTGTGCAGGCGTGCCCAGCCCCGCTGCTCT